CATCAGTGCTTACCATGGTTTAGCATAGATTGTTGCTCATGTAGGGGCAGCATGTGCCAGGAAACAGTCCCCTACAAAGCACTGGTTACTGGTGCATCCAAAATGGGAACTGTCTGCAGACCTTTCTGTGAGTCTGGGAGGAGGCTGGCAGTTGATTCTCACCTCCACCCAAGCTGGGGAGTGGGCTGAGTGAGCACAGCTGGAGCGGATGCCCTGTGGGACTCCAGGGAGCACAAGGAGTTAAGGCCTAGCCCTGCTTTGTGGACCTGAAGAACTTTGCAGCTTCTGGCTCTAGATGGCTGAATGGACAACAGGAAGTTGGCTTACAGGGCAGAGACAACGCTCTGCAGTAGAATAGTCACTCTGGCACTTTTTATAGAAAGCACCGACTTACACAAGAAGCCAGACCTTTATCCAAGCAACATTCAGATGCACATCACACAAACGCAGTGGCAATGCTAGAAGGCTGAAGACATGGTTCCTGGCAGAGCTGTGGGACGGAAATGCAGACCTCTCCCGGTTGACAAGGCTTTGCTTTTCACTGTGCCAGCTCAGAGCCTGCCCCACGTTTCGGCCCTCAGCTCTGTGAGGCTGAGAAGTCACACAGCACTGGGAGCCTTCAGCTTCCACACATTGGGTGGGGAATATGTGGAACTCACTGTGCTGATAATGCACCTCTTAGTCATCTTGTGGCTGCATTAACATCAGTGAGAGTTTTACCTAACACTGTCACCTTCGGAGGGCAAGTGCCTTCTGGGAGTCACATCAGACCCAATGCTAGGGCACTGAAGGTGCAAGGGGTCCCAGCGAAGTGGTGCCTAAGTCACCTCTAGCAGGCGGGCTCCACTCTGCAGATTAAGATGCCACAGGGGTGGCTGGGGGCTGCTTGGACTCATCAGCTCTTCTCCTTGAACACTGCCGCTGCTCTGCCACTTGTGCCTTTTCTCAAGTTGACCTCAGCAGCTGGTGTAGCAAGGGACAATCAGGTGAGGTGCCCCCTACAAGGGGGCTGAACCCAAGACCTAGCACATGCTAGGCAAGCACTCTACCACTGGGCCATGCCCCCAACTGTTTTCTCTTTTGAAATTTTTGGAACAAGTTGTCCAGGTTGGCCTTGAACTTGCCATCCTCCTGCCTTAGCCTCCAGAGTAGCTGCAATTACGAATGTTATGCCCCACCCACCCACCCCACTGCCTGTTGGAAAGGTCCTTTAAGAGAAGTCCTTCTGCTGGGGATTTAGCTCAGTGATGCTGCCACCTGCCTCACAAGTGCAAGGTCCTGAGTTTGATCCCTGGTACAAAAAAAAAAAAGAGCGAAAAGTCCTTTTGCCAGGTGTGATGGAGAATGCCTGTAATTCCAGCACTCAGGAGGCTGAGGCAGGAGGATTGCTGCAAGTTCAAGGCCTGGCTGGGCTATGCAGTGAGTTCAAGGCCACCCTCAACTACGTAGGGAGACTGTCTGAAAAAATAAAAAAATAACATAAGGAGTCCTTTTAAGGCAGTTAGGTGGATCCTAGGGGAAGTGTGAGGCCTTCTAGGACAAGGAAACAGCAGCTTCTCAGATCCCAAAGAAGGAGTGGAGCATTCGAGAGCCTGAGGCAGGAGGATTGGGAGTTTGAGGCCAGCCTGGGTTATATAGCATGATCCTGTCTCAAAAACAAACAAACCACAACACAAACAAATAAACAAAAGCCCCAAGCAGGTGCACAAAAAAGTAGGTAGAGTTTCCATGCATTTTAGAGATAGGACTGACAAAGAGTGAGGAAAAAGAAGATGAATGTCAGGTGCAGGAAGGAGCAGAGGGTGGCTGGGGTGTGACTTCAGAGCTGAGGACACTGGGACAACAGAGAACATCTGAGAATCATAGCTGGGCACTCCTGTGCTGAGGCAGAGAGGCCCATTGGTGTGCACAGAGAGCCCACAGGTTCCCCATGGAATATCACCAGGCACCTGTCACTTTCGGGAGAGGCCTAAGGAGGAGATATGAATCTGTGACTCACTGATTTTTAGAAAGATGCTGAATTTCCCCTAGGAAGAAGAGAAAAGATAAGCTGGATGACTGAGCCCTGGGATGACTCAACATTTGGAAGTCAAGGTCCAAGTAGAGCCAGGAGACTAAGAGAGAATGACCATCGTGGTGGAAGAGAGAAGAAGGAAGGGCAGTTTAGTGCAGACTGAAGTAGGTTTATGTAAAATAAAAGGCACAGGCATGACCACTAACTTGGCAATATGGAGGCAGTTTATTTATTTATTTGTAGCGCTGAGGACAGAATCCAGGGCTTCACATGCATGCTAGGCAAGCGCTGCCCTGAGCCACATCCCCAGTCCTGGAGATGGCTTATGACCTTGATAATAGGAGTTTCAAGGGCCGGGGATTTAGCTCAGTGGTTCCACCGCCTGCCTCAAAAGTGCAAGGTCCCGAGTTTGATCCCCGGTACCAAAAAAAAAAAAGAAAAGAAACAATAATAGGAGTTTCAGTGCATTGATCTGGTCCAAAACCTGAGTAGAGAGAGTTGAAGAATAAATGTTGATTTCCAATAAAAATGTAGATGAACCACAAGTGAAAAACTAAGATGATCACTAACTCCAGGAAACATAAAAAGCTGTTCAGAGATGGAAGTGTCTTATACTACACAGCTTAGCTCAGAAAGGTGCACTGTAGTTATAATCTAACTTGGAATACTGATGTAACTATTTCAGCTTCATTATGTCTTGAGGATAGTGGGAGGGCACATGTGGTCGCAGAGGGACAGGTTAGAGCTAAACTCTCATTCATTCTCCCACCCCCTAGTCCTAGGGATGGAATCTCTACCACTAAGCTACATCCCCAGCTCTTTATATATTTTATTTTGAGACAGGCCCACTTGCCCCTGCTATCCTCAAACTGGCAATCCTGCTTCAGCTTTCCAAGTAGCTGTGATTATAGGCAACCACCAACATACCCAGCTAAACCCTCCCTTTTTAACTGGTGCATGAATCAAAATCATGAGGTGAGGAATAGGGAATGTAAGGACAGAGGTGTGAAAAAGTCATTTGGGGAGTGTAGGGGGGTATCAGGTGTCTTGGGGGAGTCCATGTGATGCGTGAGGTGATGTGTTTGAAATACAGCCAGTCAGTACAGCCAAGAGATTTTTCCCAGCCACTGGAGGCTCAGAGAGGTGGTTTTGGGAGAAGCAAGTCTTCTGACCACCACAGAGATGGAGTCTGAAGTCTTCACAGGGGCTTCATGTGGAAGGCAAGTCTTACTTAGCATGATGGCCATGGTCGACATGACTGGTAGAGCCATGGATGTCCTGGCCTGTCTCAGGGCTTGTGCCCTTCAGTCAGTCTGGACCCATGAGTTTTCAAATGGCACAGAGAGGCCTAGGTGTGGGGCAATGCCACACAGCTGGCCTCAGCCAGGCCTGGGCCCTTCACCTGCTGTGTGACCCACAGCACCTCATCAGGAAGTGACTTGCCACCAAGTTTGGCTCCAGCCACCAGTGGGATGAAAATGTTCCTCTAGACCTAACTCAGGAATCTGCTCTCTCTGGAAAGACCTTCTCAGCTCCTAATAAAGGGATTAACTATACAACACTACTTACTATTCATTGACTACCACACTGCAAGTGCTTTCCGAAAGCTTTCAGTGCTTGCAACCTGTGCAGTGGCTCCTGGTCTTCTGTCACACTGGAGGAATGTGAGGCACAGAGGTCAGGTGACCTGCCTCGGGAAGCCCCAAGCAGCAGAGGCAACCCTGACCTAAGCCACTGGGCCCCAGCATCCCTGTGATAACCACCTGTGCCTCCTCTCAGAGGGTCCTCATGTCCCTAAGAGTCATTCCTGAAAGGTCTGGCATCAGGCCCTGAGTGTGGGAGGCCCTCTCCTTGGCCACCAGACCCTACTGAACTTGGTGGGGAGGTGGCTGCTGTGCTCCCTGGAGTTTCCTGGAAGCCCCAGCTCAGGATGCTCTGCAGAAGCAGCCAAGAGCTGGCGTGGGCTGGGACAGCACAGCCAGAGATGACAGTGTGGCCAGCCTGGGTCCCAGACCAGAGGGCCACTCCAGTGGCCCTTTAGACCTGTGAGCCTAAGGTCAGGTAGCAATAGGGGCTTTTTCAGTCTGGGTCCATCTGTCTGTGGCTCCCACTGCCAGCCCAGGCCTGAGATGGTGCCTGCCTAGGGTCGTGGGGAGGGGGCAGGAATTGGCTGATGTGGCTGACAGGTTCCATGGAGGTCTCTTCCCAAACCTTTGAACTTCACTGGGCCTGGAGGTCTGTTCACCCCCTCCAGTGGCTCCCCAATCCATATTTGGGCTTGGGAAGGGGATGATGTGGGACATACCAAAGAGCTGCCCCAAGACCCAGGTATCAGGGCCTGAGTCCCACACCCTGCTCTGTAGGAAGTATCCTGAGTGCGACCCCCCCCCCCGAGACTACTATACCCATCCCACTGAGAGAATGATCCCCTCTTGTCCTGTGTGCCTCCTTTGGCTCCATGACAGTGACTGCCTTGCCCATGGGGCTGTCGAAGGAACTCCCTTTCCAATGCCCTCTGTCCCTGCCACCCTGGGTATTGTTCCTGCTTTCTTGTTCTGTTGCCGGGTGAATCTGAGCACACCTGGCTATCCCCTCCCTACCTCTCCCAGGCTGGGGCCTGACTCTGCTCTCCATGGGGCCCTCTCGCCCCTCTCAGAGGCTGTCAGGTGGATAGGGGCCATTGACCCCTGCTCCAGGGCACCCAGGATGCTCAGAGATGGACCCCTGCCTGTCTCTTTTCCTGTGTCCAGAGCACTGCAGTCATGCTTACAGCAGCTCCTGTCACACTGCAGCCATTGACAGCCGGGGGCCTGCCCCCCTTCTCCACCATCCTCTGCATAGACAGGTCCACGTGTGTCCCCAGACGCTTGAATCACCACTGATGGCTTGGGACCTAGTGGCTGTGGGCTCCTGGGGGGCCACTGGGGAGGGGGCGGAGCCATGCTGCCCCACAGGGAACACCTACGGACATAAATAGGCAGCGGCCAAGGCAGCAGCACAGAGAGAGTGGAGCACTACCCACACCGTGCCCACCTGCATACACCAGGATGCCTGACACCATGCTGCCTGCCTGCTTCCTCGGCCTGCTGGCCTTTACCTCTGCCTGCTACTTCCAGAACTGCCCGAGGGGCGGCAAGCGGGCCGTGACGGACACGGAGCTGAGACAGGTACCACCGTGGCCCTCTCAGAGGAGTGGGCAGTACCCCAGAACTGGCACCACGGAGCATGGGCCAGGAAGGAGGGAAGCGAGGAGAGAAGGCAGCCTAGGAGAGGTGCCTGTGAGGAGGCAGCATGGCTGGGCAGAGGGGACCAGGCTGCCAGCAGGTAGGAGGGGCAGAAGTGGTAGCCAGGCACAGTCTCCCATCTAGGCAGCAGATACGGGAAGCTGAGGGCACCTCTGTGGTAACCAGGTCTGGGACTGGATCAGGCAGAACTGGGTGCTGAGGTCTCCTCCATGACTGAGTATTGGAGCCCCAAGCACAGCCCCAGCTGTCCTGCCATGGGTGTCCCCCCTAAGATGGCCATTGCTCTGTGCATCCTGTAAGGAAGTTCTGCTGGGTGCTTAGCCCATTTCCTCCTGCTTCATGTCCTTTTATTCCAGTTCTGATGCTCAGTTCTGCCCAGGCCACAAGTGGCTGTTTTGAGTTGTTGAACAAGCAAGGGAGGCAGGTGGGCAGCCCCCACAGCCGCCTTCCTTCTGTTTGGCTCCCCTAGGGCTCAGGTGCCTGCCACCCACCTGGTAGGCCATGAATGGGTGAGGAGGTGATGCCCACAACTTGGGATGGGGGGCAAGGGCAAAGACAGAAGATGGGAGGAAGGGCTGTGTGTTTTTGGGCAGTGCAAGCACGCTCCGCAATGTGTGTGGGGTGCGGGTGAGGAGTGGGGGGATCAATGGGATTGAGCTTCTATAATGGGGCTGGCAGGAGGTCTGGACTGAGGAGGCTGAGAGAGGGGTGCACACGGGTGCTGCCTGCAGAGCTGAAGAGGGAGGTCTCCCCATGCTGTAGCTCAGGGGAGACCTGTCCTCCAGCTGACGCTGAGGATGCTTAGGGCTGTTCTGAGAGTGGTCCTCAGTCACCTGAAAACCAAGGAACTGGGTAGATTTCGACTCCACCCTGGACGCTGTCGAGGCCAAGTCAGCGCCCAGCACCTGTGCCCCTCGGCCTGCACCCCGCCGACCTAGGGGTTCCCATTCCATCCCGCTCACGCCTCCGTCCCCGCAGTGCCTCCCCTGCGGCCCCGGAGGCCAAGGGCGCTGCTTCGGGCCCAGTATCTGCTGTGCGGACGCGCTGGGCTGCTTCGTGGGGACGGCCGAGGCACTGCGCTGCCAGGAGGAGAACTACCTCCCGTCGCCCTGCCAGTCTGGCCAGAAGCCGTGCGGGAGCGGGGGACGCTGCGCGGCCAACGGTGTCTGCTGCAGCCCAGGTGAGCACCGGGAGGGGGCGCAGAGGGCGCGGGTGGGGGTGGGGGCGGGTGAAGTCCCCCCTTCCCTGAGCTGCGCTCTCCCCGGGCGCCCGCGCTCATGCGGCCCTTCCCGCAGAGAGCTGTGTGATCCAGCCTGAGTGCCGCGAGGGCTTCCACCGCCTCGCCCGCGCCGGCGACCGGAGCAACGCCACGCAGCTGGACGGCCCCGCGGGGACGCTGTTGCTCCGTCTGGTGCAGCTGGCCGGGTTGCCGGATCCCAAGCCCGCCACGCCCGGCGGCTACTGATCTCCCTCGCCTCTCCCCCCTCCTCCCGATCCCCAAATCTGCAACGTGGACAATAAACCTCTGCAAATGCACCCAGTGTCTGTCACTGCTTCGGGACGGGGACGGCGAGGGGGAGGTCACCGAACCCTGCCCGGGTCAGTTTCACACCCTGGTCCCGGGCAGATCAGCCCCAGAGAAGGAACAGATCCTCTAGCGGAAGTGTGGGGTCAGCAGAATCTTACATAAAGCTAGAAACAGGGGACCTGGAGGCTGGCAGGAGACAGGCCGAGGCCGTGGGTGGCCACACAGGGTGGGTTGGAGATTCTCCAGCTGAAAAATAGAAGTAAAGGTAGGAAGGGGGACAAGAGAGACAGAGGTATCAGGAGGATGGGGGGAGATGCAGAGGCCGTGTGTGACCAAGGTGTAAGAGAGAAGGGAGAAGGGGTCATGCCAACGGGTGACAATTCTATCCCCATCCTCATCCCAGGAGACCGAAGTACAGACAGACTGGGGGCCCACCAAGTCCCCAGATTCTCAGCACAGTGTCTATTTTATCTAATTAGGATTGTGCCCCCTTTTCTGTGGACGCATTGTGGCCAACACCACCATAGACTCCAAAGGTAGAGTACCACCTCCTGTCTGTCCCGGCACACCCAACAGCACAGCTCCTCGCGCAGAGTGGGAGGCAACCCTGGTGAGAAAGTAGCTGCAGCCCCTCACAGATGCAGCCCCACAACCACACACACACACCCGGGGAAACAGACCAGAAAATGGCTAGGGGCTCCGGAGAAACCCTGAGAATTACCTTCAGAACCACAGACATGGCTGGCTATGGTGGTGCACACCAGTAATCCCAGCACTCTGGGAGGCCAAGACAGGAGGAGCACAGGTTCCAGTCCAGCCTGGGCCACTTAACGACTTAGCAAGACCCTGCCTAAAAAAAGAAGAGAGAGAGAGAGAGAGAGAGAGAGAGAGAGAGAGAGAGAGAGAGAGAG